GCTCCATTACCCGGATCAGACAACCCCGGGGCTTGTAACTGAAATTCGGAGGGACAGATTGGACCCAGCTTCTGCCCCGAGTTGCAGGGAAGGAGGTTTGTTACATGGTGCAACGCAGAGCCCTTGTTGAAACGTTGGCTGTGATTTGCAAACCCTCCCAAGTGAACCAGGGGAGGTTTTTAAACCATAACCACTGTTAGTCCTTCACGGGTGTGGGGCACAGGACAGGGAGCCCCCGGGGAGAAGCAGAGCTCAACCTGGGGGGTTTCACGCTGCAGGCGGTATTTTGTGATGTGGGAAAAGGCAGGGTGAGGGGCTTGCTGCCTTTGCTGGAGACGGTGGCTAGGACGTCCCGCTCGGAGCTGGCTGTGCAGCCATGCTGGGGAACAGGGGGAGCAGGAGCCGCTCTCGCGTCGGGCGATGTAGATCGACGGCTCCGGAGAATTGAGGCCGAAAGAGCTGTACGGTGTTGTCCCCGCCTGGAGATCCCCCATGCCCGTGTCTTGCATCTTCTGCCTCGAGGCATCGGCAGCGGATGCGACTTCCCCAAATCACCCCGGGTTCAAACGGCCCTTTGGGGCGGTGGGGCCGGGGCAGGGAAGGAAGGTGTGATTGGTGAGACAGGGCCACGGCTGCGCTTAAAGCTTCCGACTGCAATCGCTACGAGCAGATGAGGAAGTGTCACGGCACACCGTGAGCCGAGCCCCGACCATGCAGCCCCTCCAGCGCACCCACCTGCTCCTCCTGCTCGCCCTGCTTGTCCTCTGCGTGGGAAGAGAAACCCCACGGCGCGGGGCCCTGCGAAGGCTGAGGGGTCCAGCCAGCTCTGTCCCACGGGTGTGACGGCAGTCGGGGGAGCTGTAGGGTTCAACCAGTAGGAGAATTTCTGCTGAACTTCAGCTAGAAACCTGAGCATTTGACTTTCCATTTGACTCTAACCCTGGCTGTCTTACCAGGAGCTTTGCACTGTGGTCTGTAAGGTCTAAATACTTCCATACGTTGCTTTTTTTAAAGCATTTTTTTTTTTTTAACTTAAGAGCATCGTGCCTATCTGTAACCTTCGCACTTAGCTCTCCACCCCATCTTGCAGCCTCTCCTTTGCATGCGGGCCCCAGCCCTGTCCCCAGCCCGTGCCTGGTGTGGGGACACCGAGGATGGCTGCGGGGACACCGGGGAAGCCGAGCACGTCCGTGGGGCTGTGGGGACGCCGGGTGGGTGCACGGCTGTGTGGTTTCCTCTCACCTCTCCCCCCTGGACGTTGTTTTCCTTCCTGCTGGGAGGCTCCACGGGGGCTCGCTTCGAGCACCGCGCTGGTGGATGTCGGTTCTCTCCTGGGTGGGGACCGTTGTGTGGGAGGAATGAACGTGCCGGCACTTTCAGGGAAGGTGATGCTATTCGGAGCAGCTCTCGGGATGGTTTTTTTTCTACAGCGTGTTGGTAACGGGGCCAGATTTGTCTGCGGTTGTTTCGCTCACAAACTCCACGCATCTGCAACCTGCTGCTGGCTCCACGGGGTGCATTTATGTTTCGGGAGTCCTGTTCTGTGGCTGGGCAAACCAGCTAAAACCCCCTCACAGGGCAAGAGTGCCTGTGAGGGGGCAGAGCTGGGCGCTGGGGCCCCATCCCTGGCCCCGTCCTGGCTCCGGAGGGACCCGAGGAATGGTGCGAACCAGCGTGGGGGCTGGTTCACGGAGGGAAATGGTGTCCCTTTTTGCGCTTGTCGCTGTCGCTTGTCGCTGCAGTCACCGTTCACAGGCGTTAACGCGCAGCCGCTTGCACCAGGAGTCCCAGGAAAGGACCAAAAACCCAGAGAGAGTAGCCCTGCGCAGCCAGGGCAGGAGGGATTCACGCGAACACCTTAATTTGGAAGGTGCCAATCTTTAGAGACGGAAGGAAACTGCCCTGAAAGCACCATCCCAACTGTGTTACATTTCACACACCGACTGCACCCTCCCTGCTTGCGACAGCCTGGGGGGATGGGGGTCTCTCCTCCTCCTCCTCTCCCTCGCTTCCAGCACCGGTGTTTCTCAGCTCTGCTCCTGCAGCCCACATCCTCCGCCGCAGGACCCGTGGGCCGCCACGTCCCCAATGTCCCCAGCCGCTTCCTCGCAGCAGTCTGAGGGGCAGAGACCACCCCCCTGGCTTCTCCTCCTCCCCGCCCCCCCCAATTTCTAAAAGTCCCTGGCTAGAAATAGGGCAACGATGTGAGGGAGAGTTTGCTTCGCTCCCTGCGTTGGGAAAACCCCAAAGCCGATGGTGATTTCTGCGTGCGGTGTGAAAGAGAACCTGCTGGGGGAAGAGGAGGCCACGTGTTTCCCCTCTGGGAAGGGACAGCGTGGGCACCGGGGTGTCCCCAGCTTCTTTCTCCCCCCCCGGGCAGCTGGTTGAGGGGCTCTCGGGGGGGTTTCCACCCCGCGCTGCTGTCTTCTCCAGTTTGGAGCGATGCCTGACTCTCTCGTTTTCTTTTCCAGCCCCTTGGCCAGGCGGACAAGGCGGTCATGACCACCGCCCCCCACATTTCAAACACCCCTGCGAGCAGCCTGAGCCCCCCCTGCGGCAGTCCACCCCTCCTCTCCCTCGCCCTGGGGCTGGCTGCGGCTTTCTTCCTGTGGCTGCGCTGACCTGGAGGGGGCCGCAGTGCACCCCCCACCCCCCCAAGAAGACACCCCCAGGATGGCGGCCCCACCTCCTAGGACCCTCGCAGCATGGAGGACCAGCCAGCATGACGCCATCAATCCCGTCCCTGCCTCCCTCTGCTCCGTGCTCCCGTTCCCCTCGCCCTCCGGCCTCGAAACGAAACCCCGAAGCTGCCCCGGTTCCGAGCAAGGCCCCGGGGCCGGTTCGGGAGCGGGGCTGCTGTCAGGCTCGGAGAAATAAAGCGCTGGTGTAGAGGCCGACCGGCTCGGCTCCGCCGTGGGGCCGGGGGCGGGGC